CCCAAGGTTTCGGAGGCTTTAATCACTCCGGGATATTGAACGAGGAGATTAAATAAGCAAGTGTAAGCCTGCAATTTGTTTGCTCGATTAAAGGACCGATCTCAAATCCTTTCAAAAACGAGTACACGACTTTATGCGCGTTTATTTACGTAAATTAATGTCGGTACTTTCGCTTTATAATATTTTGTTTATGCCGCGATATGCGGCTTAACGCGCCAACCGTAGCACTTTCATCTATGTGACCGCGCAATAATTAGCCGGTATATGGATATTTCGATAACACGCCGCAATTTGCATTATAAATGACATGTAATTTTCGACATGTAAAATTCACAATTTTAAGCCCGAAAATTCCGCCTTCGCGGAAATTTCTATCCTAGTCGTGCCAGAAAAATCGTCCTACGCTCTCGTACGGTAAGTAATCTTTTAGTAGATATATCCTCATGACTGCTGCAACCTTATTTGATAAAACAAGAATCGCGAACACGACAATGGTTCGCGAATACGTCAAGAAAAATAATATGAAATTATGACGACATATGTGTGTGTGTGTGTGTGTGTGTGTGTGTGTGAGGTATGAATGGAGCGATATATCTATATAAACTTTTTAACGCTATATATTCGCATTATATTATAATATAATACATAAATCTATGCGGAATATCCTGAAAAAAAATTGAATATCAAAAGCTATCTTGCTTTTTAAGCAACATGCAGATTTTATCCTCATGATATTTTAATTCAGCATTCAACTATCTGTTGGATTCTTGAAATTGAACCATTTTCGTAAATTAAAAGCTCATGTATGTGTTTGGGGGGGGGTGTATGGTGTGTTACCTCACAGGTATCGAAACTGGGTCAAATTCAGCTCCAATTTTCAATGGAGGTTTTTTGTGGAGCATTTTTAATGAAAAAAATGTGTAAGTGATTATTTTCAACAAATGTTTATTAGAAAAGAAGAACCATGATATAGGTAGAAACAAAAACGAAATGTTTTTATTTATCGAGTTTATCTTTAATTTTGCATGGGCGACGAAAGTATTTATTGAATCTTTTTGAAAGGATATTGGTGCATCAAAGGTTAATGTAACGACAAACGATTTTAAGTTAATTAACAGCGATTCTTCGTTAATGAAAACGCATTATACATTAATAAATTAAAGAACATTATGGATATAACGTTGATTAACGAGAATTTGAGAGCACGTTAATCGTGTAACGTCCATTGAAAAACGATCGGCTCAATTACGAAAATATGGATTACGCGTGCCAGAGAGTAGAATATATTTCTTTTTGATACGCCGTGTTGCGTAAAGTACATTGTACACAATGCGACGATATAAATGCAATTATATCATTATGCAAAAATCAAACAAAAATATAGAAACGATTAAACGGAGAAAAATCAATGCCCGATCGAAGGGATAAAACATCGTCGACTTTTTTACGCGAGCCAATAAAAAAGTATAACGATCCGTAAATAGTGTATACAATACAGCGCAAAGAGCGGATTAATGTCGAGAATTTTTCGCGATACGTTCAGTTTCGCGAAATTGATTTCCATTCACAATTAAATTAGTACGCGCGAAATAGGTGCAACGGAATATTGCGCGCGTACGATGCCGCCGTCCGTTTCGTATATCATTCCTTTTTGCAAAATTTCATTTACGCGTAGTTTAATAGAAAAACACATTACACAATATCGATCTCAAGCGCGCGCGCACCCTGTTGTTATTTTCGTGCCATCATTTTCCTCTTCGATAGAGCGTCGCGAGATCGCGAATTACACGCGCGAAAACGATACGACTCGTACACACACTGCGGTATTTTAAAATTAAATCATATTATTTTATAATGTAACATCCACGTGCCTTTCTCTCTTTTTTCCCCATTACACTCCCGCATTTCGCGCCTGCCGAATGATGCTATCATATTTTTAATGCGACTACATTATGCAAACAACATTGCATAATAATGGACGGGACACATCCATTTTCTGGTAACGTATTTTTTTTTTATCCAATAATATATAAACAGTGTGTGCAAATAATCCATACACTGCGACGTGTATAATGAATCGATGAATAAGCGCATATTCATTAGTTGCTAACAGCCTCGGAAATGAAGCTGAAGCAATAATATAGAAATATGTTAACGGTAAATTAAGCACACACAGTAGAGATCAAAAAGTTGAAACAAAATTGCTGAATTTTCGGTGATATTGTAATAATATCGTATGTATACAAAGAGAGCAAATTGAGATAAATTGTAATATTAAATTATGAACACAACAATATGCTAAAAGATTATTTCTCCCACTTTAAAATTATTTTTTATATTTTATGTTTATTATATTTCATTTATAGTAAATAATTATTTGTAACAAATTTGTAATAATTGTATTAATAGTTATTATTAGTATTATAATAATTGCATTATTATTAGTATTATTAGTATTATAATAATTGTATGAAATTTCAACAAATATCGAATTTTAAATAGAAAAAGGAAGTATTATAAATATTGTTTTCAAAATCCAATCTTTTTGAAAATTATTATAAATATGATTTTCTTTGTTACAAGCTTATCTTTTAAATTTAAAAACAGCAATTATTTTCTTCTAAAATTTTCTCTGAAAAATAACAACAATTCGCATGATTCATGATATTCTCATCTTGAGGTCAAGCTTGCAAAATTTAACTTGTGATATGCAAAATATCCAAAAAAATTTATATATGTATCTTTTGATTTTTTTATTATAAAGGGATAATAAGGATATTCTTTTTAATAAAGATCAATTTAGAGTTAATCTTAGACTATCAAACATTTTATAGTCTGTGCGAGTTACAAATGATTGAAAACAATGATCCTCCACGCGCAATTTTAAAAAAATTGTAAACTTCAATAATAAATAGATCGATAATAGATAGATAAATAATAGATAGATAATAATAATCAAAGGATCATTGGAAATAGTGTAATCGACCAAAACTAGCCAAAATTTTATTTATTTATTACGACGTTTCGACCATATATTTGATTGTGGTCCTTTTCAAGTATACACTGGAATATGAAATTGATAATTAGATTTTCAACGGTTTGAATAGGCAGTACCATACACATTAAATATGAACAATTTGAGTACATACAGATCAAATAATAGATATAAGTCATAGTATATATAAAACTTTTGTAAAACTTTACAAGTCACAGTTGCAAGATCGTTACATCTTACTAAAGAGTGACGCCAAAAATAGCCTGTTTCGCCACCCTTGAAATCCGACTTGAATTTGGTGCTAAACGATAGTTATATATAAGATATTGATCCTCTAAAAGTTTCAGATTGAGCCCACTCTTTATCTCCGAGAGATGGGTCAAAGTTCGCATTCTGCATCAAATACTTTATTCACTGCTTCAATAAGATCTACATGCAGAAAATAAGGTCATGATATATATGTCATGAAAAATAAAATCTTACCTACATACACGCGCGGTTATTTAAACTATTCATGTCCTTCTGTAGGTTTAGATTAAATTATGGAATTTCTTAATATAAAACATTTCAGCAATTTCTCTCCTTCGTACATATTTTTCATTGTAATATATTAGGTTTCGACAGTCAAATTTAGATTCCAATCTGTTTACTTATGACGGAATGATTCGTTTCATGCAATTTTATATTACTAAAATGCTCTTTCACTCGAGTACGTAGAAGTCTTTTTATTTGCCCAATATATGACATATTACAATTTTTGCAGTTTAATTTATATACAACATTTGTTTTATCGTTATTATGTAAAATATCCTTACCGCGTTTTATTAAAGTATTTAGTTTCTTTGTTATTTTATAGACGACGTTAAAGCCATTACCTCGCAATAGGCGGCATAAGTCGTGACTCACATCTTCAACATATGGTAATGAAATAAAAGGTGTCCTGTCGAAATGTGTAAGATTTGCGTCAACAGAATTTTTGTAGTCACGATTATTTACAAAATTGATTCTTTTTTGTATGTGTCATTTTATGATATGTTCAGATAATAATAATAAATAAAGATCTAAATATACAATGGATAATGTATCCTCAATTAGTTCTAAACGCGTTTTACTCAAGAAAGATTTTAATTTAACGCTTAATTACCGAGATATTTATTATCGAAATATTAAAAACACGTAGGAAAAAGAAATAACGTTTGACAGCGTTGTTTGTATTAAAAAACATTGTTTCCGGATTGAACGTAGTTGCGCAATTCTGTGCGTATATTTACTATTCTTCTCCTGTTTTTGATGGCGATGATACGCTTTCTGCTTTTGCTTGTCTATTGGATCGTTACATATAAGAGATGTTGCATTCCAAAAACTCTATTTTATTTTATAACATACTATAAAATATAATAGTCATTTTAAAAGAAAAAAGATGTCTTTTATTTTTAATCCTCTCTATCTTTTTAAACTCCTCTCTTAATGTAAATAAAATAACGAGAATAAAATGATAAATAAAATTTAAAAGTAATTTATTGATTGGTTTAATTTATTTCCACAACTGAACAAAGTTGAAAATAATATATACAAGTGTATATATTACTCTCAACTTTGCTTAATCGGAAATATAAACGAAATTGTTCCGTCGGAAATTATTTGAAAATTGATATTAAAAGCAACACTCTTGCGCGCAACGACCGATAAAAACACGATTATGGAATTCGTCCGTCTCTTTTTATTTACTCCAATCATCTGGCAAATGGTCCAAAGGTCTGATCTCAAATTAAGGCTCGCTGAAATTAGGAGGCTAGCCACGGCCCCATTCAAGGACCATTCACCATTGTTTTTCCCCACAAAGGGGAGATATTATTATTTACTAGAAGGATCTTGAGGGATGTGGTCACTCTACGTCGGCTTCCCTCAACGCCAAACGCAAAGACATCACTCTTTTTACGATACATCGCTTCTCCTTGAAAGAGGAAGCCTCTCGCTCCCCGGTGGCATAAAAATTAATACGTACCTTTTACAAACGGCGTCAAACAGGCAGCGATGAGCACGAAGAGCCACATCCCAAAGACCCTCTCCGCTATCACCTCGGAGACTTTCATGATGGAGGTCCGTTTATGACACATACACACACATACACTGACACACGCGCGCGCGCGTCAAATCTCAGGCGGATTAAGTAACGTGAAAGGGATGACGGCAAGCACCGTTCGCGATCTCCGAGAGGAAGAATCTTTTATATCACTCGTTCGCCTAACACTCGTTTCACATATCGTACGACACCGTGACTCGCGACACTCTTTCTTTTGCACGACACACACGAGGATTCTCAAATCCCGAAGACGCGCACAAACTTCGTCACCCGGTCAACAGACGATCGTCGTTTCGTCTCCCTCCCGCGTTTCTTCTCCTCTTACGATCGTCAATGGATGCCTCGTGGTCGACAGTAACATACCTCGAGTCCTATCGAAGCTTTACCGCTGTTAGAATCCCGTCGACGTCTTATGATCGTCCTCGTGCAAACGCAAACCTTCGCGTTTAGTTACGCTTCTGGAAGAATCGAGTCCGCCCATATGCGGCAATCTTCACGCGAGTTATTTGCCGGACGACCTCATCGACCGCCAACTTCTCTCACCACCGCGAACTTGTCTTCCCGCGAACTTGCTCCAACTTTGTTCGAATATTAACGTCACGTCGACGAGTCTTCGGTCTTTAAGTCTCGGAAAAATAAGTTCGATAATCCGGTTATTTCACTCAAGAGGAACTTTGACAGTTTTAATCCCGGCTCGAACGCCACCACCGCGAAATATGTTCGATTCCTTCAATGACTTCTTTAAGTTGTCGATGATGATGACAACGGATGCAACGAATCGCAAAATCCCGATTGCGTCTTCCGGGATATCGGAAACGACAATCAAAGTGTATAGGGATCACGATGACAGGCTGCGGAAAGAAATGTCCGCGATTCGCGCTGCAGGATAATTTAAAGTGCGATTATCGCACTTTTGGTTCGATCTCTTGAAGCCAACTTATCTCTGTACTACACTCGCGCCAAAATTCAAAGTCGTCCTCAGAATTGATCGAGACGCGAGAAACGATCGATCTTATCAACAAGAACGACCCATCTCTTTTCGAAATATCCGTCGTGTTGCGAGTTCTCGGACACCCGGTCCAAAGGGGTTATTATAGAGGGGTTGGAGGCGGGGGAGTGGCAGCGACGACAACGACGACGACGATGACGACGACGACGACGACGACAGCCAGGGATGGGTGGTGGATGCGAGGGTGGCTAAACGAAACTGAACAGCAGGTGGCGCGTATCCGATTTATCGCGGAAAACTAGGCGACATACAACTGATGAGTTTCGGATGTGACGTGCGACAATGATCGCGCAAGCCCGTTATTATTGTTATACGACACACCGATTATTACAAACTCCGGCAAGATCACTCACAGGATGAAGGAGGACCGAGACGTTGCGCTACGTGCGCTGCCGTTCGCGAGAGTGTGAACACTGCGCGGAGTGTACGAGACTGCGCGAGAGGGTAGGAGGCCTCTGCCCCCGCAGAGATCCACGGAGATTGCCGAGCGCAGCCGAGTGCGGCCGAACGTCGGCTGCTCGGCCGATATCCCGAATTACCGGCGCAGCGGCCATATTTCAAATGCGCATTGTTGTAAACTGTCATTTAAGGAGAAACTGCACGGATCGACTGTATCAAAAGTTAATGCATTTTGGGATTCGTGAATTTGATAGCCCATACAGCACAGAATATTATAGCAATATTATTAATATTATTAATATTGTTGTAACATTGCAGCAACATTGCAATATTGCCGCAATATTATTGCAATGTTCTGTACTGTATGGGGTAAGGTATAAAATTAATAATTGACTTGTGAAAAGGTAAGATTTGCCCTAAAATATAATTTAATCTATAATTGACTAATAGAATATGGCCCGATTTCACCAACGCGAGTTAATCGGTCGATTAAATTTGTCACCAGAATTGCCAATAGCAAGACTTCAAAAACGAACGTTGTTAAGTCGTTCTTAACCTATTCTTGTTGCGTGTCATATACAAGCATTATAACCGTGAAAATGGGAATAAGGTTGAATTATCATATAATAATATTGAATGATAAAATGAATAATATATTTGATATAATTAATAATTATGAGAATATTAACAACGTTATGGATTTCTTAGACTTTGGTGAATACGATGATGATAATCTTGAAAGAAATAATGAAAGAAAAGAACGTATATTTAAACTACGTGTTAATTATTTTGATGTTTTAAATGACAAACTTTTTGAATACATACTTTGCTATTATTATATACACTTAGCAATACACGATTCTTCACAGATGTCAAGAAAATAGGTTAATAAAGATCAGTTTTATGTTCGGCAGTTGGCAACTCTGAAATTTAATCGACCGATTAACTCGCGTTGGTGAAATCAGGCCTATAATTTAGGTACTCACACAGTTCGTTTTTATAGATTATCTTAAATACGACCTTAAGATGTTAAGAACCAATCACAGAACATTGTATTAGCATCTTAAGATGTTACTTACTCTTAAGATGTTGCTACCTTAAGATAGTGAAATAAAAACTATCAATACCGACTATCAATATCGATATTAATCTCAAAATCGTAAATATTATATTTTACATCGAACTAATTTTTTACAGTAATTATATCATGAAAATTTTATAGTGATTTTGTTTTACGAAAATAAAAATTTTAATTTTACAGGAAAAAATTCGTGAACATAAATAAAAATTTTAATTCCACAGAGCAAATTTTTGCTTCAAATTAATTATTAATTTCATAAATTAATTATTGATTTTATATTTTAAAAGACTAAAAAGTGCTTTGAGCAATATCAAATGTTATGAATTTGAAAACGTATTTTAGATTTATTAATTTTTTGATGTAACTGATCCATGCAATTTATTCTTATAAGAGCATGAAAAATAAATAGAACGAAATATTGATGATTAAAAAAAAAATTTTTTTAAATATTAAAAATGATCTTTTTGGCGTTAACGTTTGTTTTTTATTTAGCATGTGTTTTTTATTGATGTTTAGAGAGTTTGTCAGTATTAAATCTTGGATATTTAGTTTTTTTTGTTTAATACAAAGGACCTCGCATATTTTAAATAAAAAAAGTGGTTAACTCATAAGTTCAAATTAAAATATGTTGTAGCTTAGGTGGCATTGATCAAAAGTTTTCTCGGATTTAATATATGTATTAATTTAATTTATGCATTCAAAAAGGCGTTTTTTAAATTTCAATACTAATTTCAAATCATCGTATCTTTTATACTTTTGATTTTAAGTCTTTTTGCCCGAAGAAACTTTTGAGCATCACCTAAACTACAACATATTTCAATTTCAGCCAATTTGACCGAAGCCACTTTTTTCATAAAATATGCGAAGTCTTTTCGGAGCGTATAGCAGATTTTATATATTTTATAGAATATTTTTGGAATATTCAACCTGATTTATACATAATTTTAAAGAATTGAAAAATAACAAAATAGTGTCTCATATATATATATATAATTATAATTACATGTTTTAATGTTCCTAACATTTTTTCATTTCTTGAAGATTAGATAAAATTAATTTTTTAAATCTCAATTAGGTTCAGTCCTAAAAGTGTTTTCTTTCATTTAGTTCATTAGTTTTCAAAATATTCATAACAATATTTTAAAAAATTGCATTTAAAATTTTATAGCTTATTTGAAACATGCATGCTACTCAAAATCTTGTAACTTGTCCGTTAATTTTGCAATTTTTTAAATAAAATTTGGACATATTCTTTATTATACACTTTCAAAAAATAAAAATAAAAAATCAATTTTCTTGATCCTCTAGAATAAACTAGACTCTTTAAGTAACTTTATTTAAGAAATATTTGAAATATATTTCCGTAAGGTATAGAGATATTGTAAAAGACATTTCTTTTTTTGAAATGTAACAATTAAAATTATTAACTGAAATAATAGTTTTAAAAATTGTATCTCCTGTTAAAGAAAATATAATGTAAATTGAAATAAATTGAAATGATATTTAAAAAAATAAATATTGTATATTATAAATATTGTGTAATAAGAGTAAAATGATTAAAGGAAATGGCAAAACAAATAAGCATTTTTTTCAAAAATAATTATCTCTCGTTATAGTCTGTGTTGTAAATTAAAGATTAGAAATAATATTGAATTTATAGAAACAATTAAAATATATAATTTAATTTTAACATTAGTTTCATTAAGTCTTTATATTTATATGCGCGATCTATATTCAATGTATATTTATGTATAAACAATATATATTTGTAAATTTATTAATACATAATTAAAAGAATTTATTCAAATCGACTTTTTATTTTTAATAAATTTTATTTTTAATAACTCTCTCTCTCTCTCTCTCTTTCTTTCTCTCTCTCTAATAGTATCTCTTAAAGTATCAATATTTAAGTAACTTCGATGAAGAACAAAAAATTAAAAAACGTAAAAGTAAATATTTATTGGGTACTGATAAAAAACTTTCTACAATTTTGTTTATATGCATATTATTGCGATATGATATAATTAAATTATTTTGATGTAAAATAAATAACAATTACAAATTCATTTAAATAATCTATAAATATTTTATTGTTCATATGTACATATAATGAGAGAAATAATTATTTCAATTATCTAATATTCTCAATGAGTGATATATGTTTGAAATTATTTCTCGTACAATTAACTGAATATTTTAAATATATTAATTGATATATATGAGCAAGTTATTATTTCATACTATCCAATATAATCTGACAGGAGAAATAGTTTGTGTAAATGTAATTTTTTTTTTTATATGCTATCTCTTGTCAATCTTTAATTATGATCTCGCATTTACTACTAATTATAAGTCCTAAAAGAAGCTACCGATACGATAGGAGATGACGTGATAGTCCGTATCATATGTTAACGAAAATTGTCGGTGTTTTCAATTATTGAACTTAGTTTATAATAATTTTACTGATTTGATGAGTTTATATAAATTAAATAAATAATTTGACAAATTGAGTTTTATACACAACATGGATTTTCGTTGATGTAGATGCTCGATTAGCGTCACTGCCGTTAGCGCGATGCTTTTAGTTAATTAATGTACCAACAAGTGTCAAGCTGACACTTGATATACATGATATCAAGCAACGACCTCAGTATTTCCTTAACAAGATTTCTTGGTATCTTGAACTACTCAATAATATTGTTATCCATAATATCGCGATTTAACGAATTTTATATCCATTTCCGAAACTCTAACGAATATATTGATTCAAAAACATATTAAAAATCAAATATCAAAACTAATATTTTAAATAACCAAAATATCAATAATTCTCCTGTTATAAATAATATATAAACATCTAACTCTCCCTCTCCACCCACCTCCCACCTTTTCTCTCTCTCATATCTTAATACATATTTTAATAATTATTTTAATAAATATCGGAAAGCGTTTTCAACAATAAATTTGTACCTTACACACATGTAGTAAAAATTAGAAGATATAAATTCGTATCAATTTAATAATATCGCGAATGACATTTTTTCATAATTACAACACGAGAGATGCTTCTGTCGCTAATAAAATTGAAATCATATTACACGGTCATATGAAATACATTAAAAGACTAATGAAATTTTTCTTTACAAAGTTATGATCGAGCAAATTATACTTTCACATACAGCTAAATATTGTTAATAGTATACAAATTAATAATATAGTACAATAATTTATTACATAATCAACGATAAATATCTATCATTGTTTCGATTAAATTATAAAAAAGTCAGATTATTATCAAAGCTATTATGCGTGTCGATATATATTTATTCACAAATATTTTTTATAAAAGAAAGAAACAATATATAAAATGATGTAAGACGTATCGTCTTTTATCGTTGGCGATTAAAATAATAACGTCATATAAGGAAATGTAAAACGTATTATTTTCCATTTGTATTATCTTCTTGCATTTTTCCGTATAAATTGGAAATTATTCCCCTGGCTCGATATGTCAACAACAACATTCACGTCGAAATTTAATTCGACGTATTCTATGATTCTATTTGCGTCATAGCATTTTGCTGTGACGTACGTAAGCGGTTTCGCTTGAGTTTGTATGAATTCCATAAATATCGGTGCTGACTATACGACGACGATAAAGATTCGCAATTTATGAAGTTGCTTTATGGAACGTGAAATTGTTGTATTATAGCTTATTATAGTAACTGGAGAAGAAGTTACGTATTATTATAGTAGTTTCGTTATTGTACTGTAATAATTAAATATTAACGAAAACTTATATCTGAAAGCAAATACAAAGTGAGAAATAATCGAATTAACGATAAATTTACGCAAGAATAAGAAAATTCATTTATTTTGTTCCATTTCATTATTAGTGTATTCAAATCTAAAATA